AATCATTTGGTGCGGGAAGAATAGTAATAATAGTAGTATTCGTGGTGGTGATAGTTTGTTGGAGCCTTTCCTGCGTGCCAGTACTTTCACTTCTGTTAGCTCTTGAACCCCCACAGCTCTTGAAATAGGTACTTATTAGCATATCCCGTTTCACAGATGAGAACAGTTGAAGCACAGACAGGTTAGTGCAATGAAGGCCCCAGTGGAGAGGACCCTTCCCTGCTTCATTCTCTTCTTCCCTGTATGGTCTTTGTGAATATGGCCCAATTCCAGCTGCCCTGGGAGGCACTGGGAATGGGGGACCCAACATTCCACGCAGAACCACTCTACTTTTGTCCTTGGAAGCATCCCCTAAAGCCAAGAGAAGTCCTCACCCCCCTGCCTGATGCCTCTCTGATCTCAGAGCTTCCTAATTCTGGCCTGCACTGCTTTGTTCTGCTCGCGGGAGCCTTTCTCTCATCTGTGAGATGTTCAGCATTTATAGCTCCTTTGCAGCACTTACTGGGTGCTATGACTACTTTGGGACTGAGAATTTATAGACAAAGAAAATGTAGCCTCTGCTGTCCTTAATATCTACACCCACACACTTCCCAACACTCCCTACACATGGTAGCTCAAGTCTAGCTGGGATTGGGTGGATGGAGGAGGCTGGGGACATGGACTGCGGGATCACAGTCTCTGTATGCCTGTCACATTCCTGTGCCTCATTCTTACCCTACACTCTTGTGACATCACAACAATCTCAGAAAATCTGAAAGCCTATCTTCACGGAGAGTTCAACTGCCTGGTGAGATTTGCTTTGCTAAAAACCAGCGCATCGTATAAAAACCAGTGCCTCCAAGTTCCTTACAACCAACATCCATTTGATGGAACAAATAGCAAAGCAAAGGAGAAAGTATGTATTGGCTGGAGTTTGGGGACTGTGCTATAGGAAGGGCAGTTATGGAGAAACATTTAGCCCTGCCTTGCCACAGTGTGATATAGAAAGTGAGATGAAGTTCTGAATGAACAGGCTAATAAGAGAAGGTGATGTTCAGAAAAATTTGCCATATTGTTGCCTATTAGCTACATGTATAGTAAAGGTGAAATACAGCATAGTTCACTTTGAATCTTTGAATTTGAGTCAAATGTTAGACATTCTGAGCATTTCCACAGCTGATTTTCTTGGCTCTCTCTTCTCTGTTCTAGAAATAATATAAAACTCTTAGAAGTTATTTGCAGGAAATATGTACAATATAATATTTTAGTATTGAGCAAGAAATAACAGAAAAACTAGAGAGAATAATTAAAGCTCAAAATTTTGATGGCGGTAGGAAATGTGTTACTAGTAGACTACAATGAATCGAGGTTCAGGATGGATTTTGGCTGGAAATGGAAACTATTAGATGCCATAGAAGGGAATATGGAGATATGTAATCTCAGGTAAGGCCCAAATGAGAGTGCACCTGACTTCCTCTAAGTCAGTCATTGTAGTACTTGCATATTACAAACCCCAGAGGCTTGTGCTTTAATTGTGAGATACCATGGCCTGAGTACCACCACCGTCACTCAAAGTAAGCAAGTTTCTCATGGCACTCACCACATTGCCTTACACAGCTGAGCATTCTTGCCCCCACCCAGAGGTGCACCGTAAAAACTCCTGCTTCTGATAAAAGTTTCTACTTGCTTGAGAAACTTTCTTTTGTGGTTTGGAGACTGGGCTTGGGTTACTGATGAGATTAAAAACAGCTTTTACTATGAAAGTTTGTGAGACTGCAGTCCCTGCACTATGTGTGCAATTGGATGAACAGACCTCCTATCCGTAGTCTCTTATATGACCTCTTACCCACTGTCCTACCCCTTATACTCACAGACCCCTGCTTTGTGGACACACACCTGAGAATCTGTCCCTGGTCGTCTTCATATAAGAGGGCCTCGTTACTCTGATTTCTGATGTACAACAAGAAGGCATTAAAGTAAATGCCTCCTAGGAATATCTGTTAAGAAGGCACTTTTAGAAAATAAAAACAATCTGGCCTGCCAGTGAAATGAATTCTGACATAATAGTTATAACGTAGTTAAAAAAAACCCTTTAATATCTAATTCCTGAGTCTAGATTGCTACTTGTGGCTAGAAACTTCTACAACCAGCAAGCCAGAAATAGTAGTAGAATCACAATTGATTAATTTTCTGACTTTGGGTGCAGTTATAAATAATAGTTTCATTCTAAATTCGAATACCTGCCATAATCAATATGGAAATCTCAAGGTTATTCAGCCAGGCCGTTCCTGCTGTTCCATCTGTCTCTTCCCTTGCGTTCACTTGTTCATTGGATCCGCCCACTCCTGCCTCTACCCTTCTCTTCATTTATACCTGGATGCCTTTCCCCACCACCCCTCCTTGCACTCAGAGACCATGCAGTTCCTGAGCTGCTCAGTTGTTTCTTGCATGTTCTCTTCATTAAGCTTTTCTCTTCCCTCACTAATGAGAAAAGAGATAACAGCTTTCTCTGGCCCCTCCTTTCCTCACCCTATAACTCCTGTTCGACTCCCACTCAACACTTCGCTTTGTAGAATAATGAGAACTTTTTATTTGCGTATTTAGGTACTTATTTCTATTCAGTCATTGGTTGCCACATTTCTCTATATCTCTGGAAGTCCGTTGGGAAAGAGCGTGTCTTTTTAACTGTGTAACAGCATGCACACTGAGGGATCCCTGAAGATCAGATGTCAAACTCAGAAAAATTCATAAGTAAGCTCTCAGCTTTTTGGTACTGTTCTCCAAGATTAGCTGAAAGTGTGTAATTATACAACTGAACTGTGGGAGCCAAACTGTGGGAGGAGATGAGTGAGGATGTGACCTGTCAGAGGTGAGATTATGTGAGTAGAAAACCCTTCATCCGTGGACTTAAGAATATATTACACAGACTTTCCCTTAACTAGGTATTTGGAAATCTCTCAGAGAGAGGCAGAGAAACCAAAGCAGACCCCTGAAATGACGAAGCTATGTTGGAGAACACAGACGAGAGAGGAGCCTGGGCTCCTGGACTCAGCGGACATTCCACTTTGCTCCTTCCCCCAGGGTTCTGTCGGGGCCATTAGGAATCAGGCTATAAATAACTAGACGGCCTGAGGTCAGGCCTCAGGAAGGTCTTATAACCTTATCCCAGTGTTGCTGCATCTCTGCCATTGAAATGACCCTTAATGTCAAAGGAAATCTGCAGAGGAAATAACAGCAGTATGATTTAAGTCACTATGAGTATTTCTCTTTAGTTAGACACTGTTTCCTTTCTTTAAGCCCTGATAACCAGGTTTGGGGTAAGATTGTTCACTATGAGATTCTTCTTGTTTCTTCTGTGTACAATTTCCTGGTCACTGTACTTCAAAAAGGAAAAAAACAAAACAAAACACCACAGGGTAGTTGAAGAAGGTCCAGAGGAGAACCAAAAATGAGAGAAAAGGGCTGCCAGATAAGACTGTTCTAAAAATTAATGGGGACCTTTTTTAAAAACAGTGGGGAAATACATAAAACCTAAATTTATCATTTCTACGTGTATAATTTAGTGGCATATAGTGCATTCAGAGCTTGTGCAACCATCACCACCGTCCATTCCAGAACTTTCTTGTCATCCCAAACTAAAAACTCAGTACCCATTAAACAGTAACTCCCAATTCTCCTATTTCCCCAGCCCCGGCAGCCACCATTTTACTTTCTGTCTCTATGAACTTAACTCTTCCAGGGACCTCATAGAAGTGAAATCATGCAATATTGGTCCTTTTGTGACAGACTTATTTCACGTAGTATGATGTCCCCAGGGTTCATCCATGTTGCAACATGTCAGAATTTCTTTCCTTTTTAAGGCTAACATTTCATTGTGTGTATAGACTACATTTTGTTTATCTGTTCACCTGTTGATGTTTTCACCTTTTGGCTCTTGGGAATAATGCTGCTGTGAACATTGTGTACAAGCATCTGAGGCCCCTCTTTGGGGTATATACCTGGAGGGGGTGGGAATTGTTGGATCACATGGTAATTCTGTGTTTAGCTTTTTGAGGAACTGCCAGAATGTTTTCCACGGGAGCTACACCATTTCACGTTCCCACCAGCAATGCATGAGAGTTCCAGTGTTTCCTTGCGCTGGCCAGCATTTGTTTTTTTCCATTTGTTTTGTTTTGTTTTATTTTGTTTTGTTTTGTTTTTAATAGTTGTCATCCTAATGGGTATGAAGTGTTATAAATGGGGACTTTTCTACTTGGAAGAAGTGGACTGAGAGGGCAAGTAGTAGGCCTGTAGTTATAAAGACTTCAGCTGGGATTTACACAGACATGGTCACCAGAATCTAAAATTTTGGAATCCAGATAACGAAGAAAGTCAGAGTATGTAACAAACAGCCTAGCATGAGTACTGTACAGTCCCCAAGGCCACCAGCCCTTCACCTTCCTCAGATGTACAGGCTAAACATCAGCTCGGCTGGGACTCTATTGAGGTAAATTTAGAATAATGAAAAAAAGTATCTTCTCAGACCAGTTGTTTTATCCCATGATGGACACATGAGCTCACTAATGGGTAGTTAAGAAAAACCATGAATTCTGTGAAATTCACCCCTATACTTTTGAAGTTGATGTTAGAGAAGATGATTGCTTCTCTGTTCCTACCTGAAATTTAACTTGCCATCCTGCATCTGAAGCTCCCTGGCTCCTCTCGGAAGCCCTTGTGGCCTTCACAGGGGACTGAGGTGACTATTTTCATTATTTAACCTTCAACAGATACTTATGTACACTGACCATGTGCCAGGCCTCGGGATAAGCGCTACGAATAGAATGGAGAGCAGAGCCGACCCTGACTTTGTCTTCTTGGAGCTACAGTTCAGTGGGCGAATCAGATCATTTATCGCACAAATAGATTTGTAATTCCACACTGTGTTTTGCTCTATACAGGAAAAACACCTGTGAAATTTCCCTCTTATCCGTTAGGTTGTTCATACAACCTCTCTAAGGAATAATGCTTTCTTTTCTCTTTAGGAGCCTTCAGACAGGAGGCTTTGCCTGGGACGGAGAGGTAGAAAACAATGCGTATAGCAAGGCTACGGGGGTGGTCCCTCAGCACAAGTATCACCCCACAGCGGGCAGTTACCAGCTCCATTTTGCCCTGCAGCAACTTGAACAACAAAAACTTCAGTCCCGGCAGCTTCTGGACCAGAGTCGAGCCCGGCACCAGGTAACTCAGATAAGGCTTTTCCATATGCTAGCATCTTCCTTCTGTGGGGGGGTGGGCGTGGAGGGATGGGGAATCAGGTCATGACCTGGCAAGATTTCAAGGTATAAATAATGTTTCAAGTCCTTCTCAGAGGAAATGGTCATAAGTTTGGCTTTTGGGCTTCCGGTTTCACAGTACACAAAACAACACACAAAAGTGGAAGTGTATACACGAAAATCCTTGCTGTCCTGGCACTTATGCTCTGGGCAAACACTGGTTTCCTGTTCACTGTCTCTACAATGACAGAAACTCCTCTGAGTATGTGTGTGAGGGAGCTGTGTAAGTGAATTGTACTCGTGTGTCAGTGTGGCCCAAATTACAGAGAAAAGATGACTTCACCAAAAAAATCAGGCCTTATAGAGTTAACTTTTTCTTGATGATTTCAGGGTTATCATTAGAATCCATTACTATGTTCTACATGTTCTTTTGGGCTGAATCAGTACTGATTCTATGAGCTTCCCTTTTATCTGGTTACATGAAGAAATATATCAGTTTGATCTCTTGTTATTTGCTCCTATAAAAGTGTAGTACATAGTGTGCATTAGTTTGTGCAAAATTAATATTCACTCAAAGGCTAAGGCAACATTTCCTAAAGTTTTTTTTTCTTTCCCTCTAAATAAAGCAATTATCATATGCTCTCTATCTCTACTTAATCTTTTTAACTATTGTCCAGGTCCAGACATTTTATTTTTTCGATTTCATTCATTACGTGCTCATCTTTTTCTATGCTGGTATACTCTCTGTATTATAGTAACTCATTGTAATTTACGAGAAATCAAAAGTATGGGTAGTTGTGAAGTAGTTTTTACTGGAGGAAAATCCAGACTTCTTACCTGGGAAGCATGGAATGTAGCATCTCATTTTGATCACAACACCGCCCTCCATCACACAGTAATTTCCTCATTTAGAAAGTCTTTGGGATAGGCAGTTTGCATTTTCACAATTGTAGATATAAATGTGTATCTTAGTTTTTTTTAATCTATGTAAATTTCTGAAAACTTGTGAACTTCTGAACTCCCTGTCATGCAGAGTACTTGAGAATGCAAACTTAATCAGATCCTGGACAGGAGAGGTCTCAAAAATAGCCTTATTTCCCTTATGTGAGCATAAGCGATGATCTAATGAATCTAGACAATTGGGCCCTTTTAATGCTTCCATACCTTGAAATAGTGATGATTTTTAAAGTGATCATAGGGCATTGAAGTTTGGGGGAGAGACCGTTTTACTGATTTTTACTTTTAGAAACTGCTTCATTTAAAAGCCCATCTCATTCTTTTGATTAGCTTCCAGCGACTCACATTCCTTTGAAAATTCAGAGTACTTCTATTCTTGTGTGGATTTTTTTTTTTTTTTCCCAGTGAGGATTACAGTGGTTTAGTTTCACTGAACTATGAAGTATATGGAAAACATGTTTTTTAGAATCTGTCAGAATATCTGTCTTAGGGAGGAGTTAGAACTCCCAAGAAGGGAGTTATCCCGTGACTCCTGGAGAGGGAACAGTAAATCATTCATCATAATTTTATATATGTTTATAACATCATTTGTTTCTTCCCCCTGTTCTTCTAATCCATAGCTGATTTAGGTAAAAATGAGTCAGGGTGAAGTTCTGGGACTGTGGGGAGAGCCAAAGAAACTAAATTCGTAGCTTGAAGAGTTTATAACTAAGAAAATAGCAAATAAGATATTAAATGTCTCTTTTTCTTGCCTACCTTATGGCTGTGCTAGGCTTGATCATTATAATTATCACCACGTTGTTGATGGCAGCCTGCTTTGCGTTCTCTGTGTTTCTGCCCTTGGGTTAATAGATAGAGGTGGTTTCTCTGATGAACTCCTTATGTTTGGGATTCATTTTTCTAAAGTATACATAGCCAATGATATAAGTAACAATTTGGTTAATTGCCTGTTTGAGGGTAGAATTGAAATCTAATTTACTTAACATTCATCCATAAGAGACACCTATGGAACAGGCCATTAAAGGGGGCTTTATATTCTATTGCACTGTAGTGTATTGAATTACATTGATTATGTACAAGGACTGTGCCTTTCATAGTGATTCCCTAAAAATATTTTTGGGAAACATCATGCAACCTTTCTTGCACTACACGCAGAGGAAGTTCTCCATCCCTTTCTGCACTTAGGTAGCCAGCTTATTAAAGGTATTAATTTCAAGAAGGCAAACTCTGATTCAGGATATGTTTGGAGATGGACATCTCTAACCGTTCATGCGCAGTAAGGTTTGATCTTCATCTCTGTCTAGCATTGCACTCATAAACTGAGAAAGTGTCATGTACTGAATCCACCTCAATAAGAGACTGGAACTGTAACATGGGCATCGGAGAGGAAGTCACCCAGAGCCACTGGCAGGATTTCCAGGGACTGAGGTACAAGGAAATAGGTGTGATCCAGTCCATTTGATAGAAAGCAGGATAAACAGAGTAAGACAAAATTTAAACCATGCACTTGTACACACTGATGAGTAAAACCAGCAGTTTTAAAGAAGAAATCATTCTAAGTCAGACAGGATCAGTAAACTTTTTTTGTAAATGGCCAGATAGTAAATACTTAAGGCTTCATAGGCCATAGAGTCTCTGTGGCCACTACTCAGCTTTGCCATGGTAGAATGGAAACAGCCATAAACAATATGGAAATGAATGAGTGTGGCTGTCTTCCAGTGAAACTTTATTTATTAAAAATGGGTGGCAGGCTGGATTTGTCTTACAAGCCCTAGTTTGCAGACCCCTAATTATGAGCAACAGAACCATTTGGAGGGCCTGTTAAAACACCGATTGCTAACCCCACCCCATTTCTGATTCAGTAAGTTTGGGAATGGGGCTCAATTATTTCCATTTCTAACCACTTCCCCAGGTGATGCCAGCGCTGCCCTTTGAGGGACCACACTTTGAGAACCATTGAGCTAGAGGGAAAGAGATTAGGAATGTCTCCTCTTCAGTTATTTGTTTTCTGTCCTTTGGCAGGGAGACTGAACATGTTAAAACCTAGTGTTGCCCTTATAAAATTTCAGGCAGTCATTGTTTTATAGGAACTTTGTTTCCATCTTGTTCACTCCATCTACCACAGTCTCCTTATAAATAAGTTTTCCAAACCTGAAAACCTTCGTGTGCATTTTTCTTATCAGGGTACATTCTGCTCAGCAATCATGCTCCCAGGATTCAGGTTTTATGGTGGACAGGAGATAAGTAATGGGACAAATTCCTCCCTCTTTGTTTTTTTTTTTTTAAGATTTTATTTATTTATTTGAGAGAGAGAAACAGCATGAGAGGGGATAGTGTCAGAGGGAGAAGCAGGCTCCCCGCCGAGCCGGGAGCCCGATGTGGGACTCGATCCCAGGACTCCGGGATCATGACCTGAGCCGAAGGCAGTCGCTTAACCAACTGAGCCACCCAGGCGCCCTCCCTCTTTGTTTTTAATAATAATAGCCAACACTCAGCACTGTTCCAGGTGCTTTACATATATTCATTTATTTAACATGAGTTTCAGGGTGGTTGGAGACATGACAGAATCCTGGTCAGCTCGGGGTGGTAAAATGAATCTGTTATGTGTTGATCTATGCCAACGTGTGTCTTCTCGCTGGTTTACACTCATTGCTTCCCACTTCCTTCTCATTCTGGCTTCCTGCCCCTGAAGGAGAAGAATAAAAAACTTTCCTTTCAGCTGAGTCGGGGGACTTTCTTGGGCAGCAGTGACTGCTGGTGACATCAGCATGAGTAGCCCTCCGTGCTGGGGGGCTGTGAGGAGGGCCGCACCGGCTGTGAGGCCCAACTGACCTGATTCTAATTGCCGACATTGAGCTGATGTTATTCTTGGCCCGGGACAGAGCGATTACTCAGTAGTTTCTGTTAAAGTGATCCTTTGTTAAACTTCTGCTCCCAGCCCCCCTCTTCTTCCCTCCCACTCTCTTCTCTGCCTCATCCAGACTGAAAAAAGCCCAAAAAGCAGAAAAATTAAGGACATTTTGTTGGCCAGGGCAGAATTGCTGAAGTTTCTTTTAACAACAGAGCAGAGAGCAGGGGGGATTTTAAATACATCTTAATTTTTCACTGGTTCCGTCCTCTGTCCAGAGCCCTTCAATTGTTAGTAGACTTAATTTTGGACATAGTGAGATAACTCAAGGTGAGAGAAGACTGTGTACCCTGAACTCCTTTCATCCTTCCATTCCATCTGTCCTTTACTTCCCCCTTCCCACCATGCTCTCTTCTGTTGGACTGAGCTAGATCAGTAAGGGCCAACAGAAAGTAACGGTCCTGTAACAAGTGTGGGGGGTGGGCAGCTCTGGGTTCACACCACAGGGTCTTTCAGTTTGCTAGTACATCTTGAGTGCCATATGTAATGAGCTTTTTGCTAATGGTATGTGTGTCCATGCACAGCCTCACAGGTATGGAAAAGATTTCCATATAAGCCCAGCCAAGTCTTGTTATACTGCTCCTAAAAGTCCATTGCATGTGTCTAGAAAAATTCTGCCCCCCTACAGGAGTGAATACTGTATCTCCAAGGCTTCAGCTGCTGTGTGTTTGTTTTGTGGGGGAGGGGAAAGAGAGAGAAATTCAGCAGGCACCCGGACTTTTCCAGGCAGCCAGCAATAACATGCTAGCTCCTCAGCATGGCACAAAGAGAGCAAGCAAACAGGCTGGCTGTGCGGGGGGAGTCTTTCTACATCCTTCTAACAGAGTGTCCAGGAGGAAGATTGGACTGGGATATTCAAGAGGAAGAACTTATTCATGTGTGCTTAAGTTCCTGCAGCATGTTGGCCTGTCATAACCTACTGCTGATTTGTTTTGTTTTGTTGGGCATTTTGTTCCATTTTGGTTTTCCTTCTGACTTTTATCAGAAACTCATACAACACTTAGTTTCTAGATGATGATGATGACTGATTGATTGATTTTCCTAGAACCATTTGATTTAGTAGATTTTGCCAAGCCAAACTCTTTTCTTCTTACCTAATA